AGGGGGTGCAGCCTCTTGAGCGGCAGGAGGAGAAGCAGGGGCAGGAGGAGCGGGAACCGCTGGAGGAGCACTCAAACATCAATGATTACCAATTTGGGACATGAGGCTCAATGACAATGAAAAGCCAGGAACCCTGGAAGGTAGGGTAGCCTCTTGAGCGGCAGGAGGAGGAGCAGCGGCAGGAGGAGTGGGAACCACTGGAGGAGCACCCGAAAGAGGATGAGCAGGAGCGGCAGGAGGAGGAGGTGAGGAAGTGGAGGAAGCGGAGGAGGTGGAGCAGGAGGAGGAAGAAGTGGAGGATGAGCAGATTCAGTATGAATTCGAGGGGGATGTCATCTCTGAGCAGGGGACTTGGTATTAAACAGGTAAGTTAAGTTCGAGGAAGAGGAGGAGCAGGATGCGGGATGAATCCGAGGGGGATGTCATCTCTGACCAGGGGACTTGTTATCAAACGGGCAAGTTCGTCCTTCAGACATTAAAATTGGAATGAGAGAGAGCCGATCAGCATTGCGCCTGTGCAAAGATGACGCGCATGAACGAATGGTTCAAATTAAAAAAAAAAAAAAAAAAAAAAAGGGAATCGAAAAGAGCCAACGAATGTTTGGGGTTCGAAATTGCACCTCGTGACCTCTACGATGTCCCATTTTCTGACTCGACGAACAAATAAAAACATGTTCTAGCAGAAGAGAACAAATCTTTTTCTAAAATATTGGTAGATACAGGGCCTCCCTCCGCTACTCTCCTCGTGCAAAAAATACCAAAAATATGGCGGTGTATAGTTCCATGTTATAGTGAAAGATCCATTCTTTTTTTTTTTTTTTTTTTTTTTTTTTTAGCACAAATGCACCGAGATCCCATCCAAATAAGAGCAATACGATGAAGTCAAAGCCAATGTTCAAGCCCTCAGGCCACACCAACACAGTATCCAATGTCGCTCCTCTCTGTCTGGCGCCCCAGCTCCTAGCCTACACTACTCACCTATCCTACTAGATCTGCATTCACGCAACAGGCTCACTTCGACTTTGAAGACCACTGTACATGACGCCAACACCATAGCCGACCTCCTTCATGCACCAGGTACATATCCCGTCTCCCCTCATCATACCCTGACCGCCTCCTTCCTGAAGATCCATCCTCATTTTGCACATTTGGAGAGTAGTGGAACGACACCCGCACCTCAATATACACACACAAGACAAAATAATTGGAAAAAAAAACGTATCCTGGTCCCCTACTTGCCTCATGCAAACTGGGCCGCCGTTTCACCGCGGCAGGTCCACTGAAAGAAGAAAAAACACACTAAGCTGGTGGGCTGGCACATCCAGCAGGAGGGCATGTGATGGGTGAGGTCAAATTTAATTCAACTCAATTTAATAATAAAGTATTATTGGATTTTCCGAAAGGTAAAGAGACTCTATGGAAGCTATCCTAATGCAGTCCAACCACACACTGGCATGGTTAACAGAGGGAGGGAATGAAGGAGTGGGTTGGTGAAGGGCACAAAAGGAGGAGAGAGAGAGAGAGAGAGAGAGAGAGAGAGAGAGAGAGAGAGAGAGAGAGAG